TCAAGCCACAAGATGTCACTGTTTTTCTAACACAGGCTCAGACTGCATAGATATTTGTATATTCATGAAGAGGTGGGGTTTTGCACTCAGAGTTGGAGTTTAGTGAACAGGAAGAGGAAACTGCAGCCATGTTTTGGACGATGCAAAATGAAGGAGACGTGTGAGCTGATGAGAATGCTGCCAGGAAGCTGATGAGATTGCTGCCAGGAATGCTGCTGAGATTAAAGGACTCCACAACTTAAAGTGACATTTCACATTGGAGAGCTGATAAAATCCTACAAACTTAAGCCAGACTGGCATTTTGCTCAGAAGGAATACTCAGGCATGTGCTACAGGACCAGTTATGGGAGGGGGAATACTGTAGATTTGTGTAAGATTGTAAGCTGTTGTGCTGCACCGCAGGCTAGCCCATACCATACACCCATACACTGATTCCTGCTCTTTTAGGGTAATAACAGGTAAGGTGAGGCAGCTTAGTTGTGCCCGCCAGTAGGTAAATTACTTCACTTTCTACCTTCATCCATCAGAAGGCGCCGTGCTGTGCAGCACAAGGGTCTCAGCCTTTGGGCTGGGTGTATGTAAATTTATTGTATGTTCCCAGCATTTGTGGTTGTGTTTATTTGCCACATCTAAGTAAAATTCTGTTGTGGCAAAAGCTGGTGTTGGGGTTGCTTTCCTCGTTCGTGACTTCACTGTATGCTGGGGAGCCCACCCCGGTACACGGCTTACATCTGCTCCTGTCTGATTGATCTTCCGTTACTGACCTGGCCTGTAACCTGACTACTCTTCCTTCTGCCGCTGTAAGCCTGATCTGCCTGACCGATACCGAACCTGGTTCGTCTGATCCTGCATCCTCAGCACGCTGCGCTCAAGTATCCATCCCGCACGGCTACATCAGAACCCTGCTCCTTGCCTGTAACTCATCAGCTCAACTGCTATTACCGGACTGATCTCAGGCACTCATACCCCACCGTGCCCCTGCGACCGCTGTCTTACCATCAGCAGTCCTTGAGCCGGAGTTGTACGGGAGGCCTGCCTCTTCATGTCAGGCTCACTATCTGGGGGCAGCAATAAGATTACTAGATGATACAATGGCTGTATGGTCAGCTCCTAAAGGTCTCAGTCTCTCTCTCTAGCAGCAGATTGTAAATCCCAACAGTAGCAGCTCACCAGTTCCAGCGATATTGCAGCTTACATCCGGTCACACACAGCGATTAGTCCACTCTTGGCTCTGCACCCGGGTGACTCTGGCTGTCAGCACATCTGGACTCAGCACTCCAGATTCTGCTCAGGCCCCTGTTATGCAGCAGTAATGATGCACACTGGACACTGGAGAGCGATGTGCCATCTCTGGTCTCCCTCATAGCAAGAAGAAGCTGTGTCCTCTACAGACTGAATAAATTCAGCCCTTTCCCCTCCTCCTGGCAATCTCTCTATGGGACATGCACTATAAAAGCTCCTGATTACAGTAGAGTCTCTCCCCTCTGGACTATCCAGTTCCCACATTGCAGTGCTGCCTGACTCAGTCTATTGAACTCTTCCTACTCAGGAACTAAGCCACCCCAGTGTATTGGTCATGCGTACTGGGCACACAAATAGTTGTGCGTGTAGCCGCCATATTGTCAATGTCACAAGTCTTCTATGCCATTTTATCGTAAATAGGTATAGCACTGTGACCTTTCTCCCTCCTTCCTTCAGTTTATACAATACGCAAACTGTTAACTGATGCCAAGACCTTATGATCAATCAATTATTCAGACACACAGTCCACAATTTCAGTCTGGAAACCCTAACAAAACTGTCACCCTTGCAAGCTTGAGTAAGCCAGAGAACTAACAGATACGCAGTCGTAAATAGCTCAGCTGAAGGGAATAGCCAATCTACATTTCTGCTAAAATGGTTAGCAGCCAAGACTCTAAAACTTTAGCATATTTCATAACTCATGAAATACGACCAGCACAGCCATAGTAAGGACATATTTCCCCCCTCCGTTAATTTGTAACGTTTTGAGCGTAAACACCCTTATGCTAAGAGATACCAGAGTGGATTAGGCCTCCACACTCCTCATATGAGAAATAAATATCAGAGACCTGTCTCTAAATCTATTTTTAAGTTAATTTCATGCTGGAAAATAATATACCAAGTAGATAACTGTACCCTCTAGATATTAAGAGTTATTAAAGCTTATATAAAACTATATCTGGGACTTGGTCATAAAAAAGTGACATCCCAGGGCACTCCTTAGCCGTGTAATTGGTCAGATGGCCTCTGTCAACACCCCCCTTAATGTCAAATAAAAAAGAGATTGTAAGCAGATTTGACAGCTCTCATGTACCTTCCACCAAGGAACATCTGTCAAGTTATGAGAGCCAATAACACCTTGCTCACCCTTGACGTTTTTCATTATTTTTCATTTTCAACTCCTTTTTAATTCTCTGTTGCTTTATTGTCTCTTTATTCTTTGTAACACTCTTTTTTCTATAAATATTTTATTTGCAACCCTTTCACATTTTCATTATTAAACCCTATTTTGAAAAGTGTTAAAACTGTCTCTAAGGCTTTTAATGAAAACTAAAAGAATCCCTGTCTCTTGAAGAGTGCTACGGTATATGATAACTCTCTGAATATACCTGTCTGTGGTGACAGTGCGTACAGATGTTTATTCTAAAATCATAGTTGTTATTCTTAGGATTGTGAGTTTCCTCCTTGGTAAAAAGCTGGTGGTGGTGGCTTAAAGAGTTAATTGCTTAGTTAACTTAACCCAGTGAAAATCACTCTCAGGCTGCTGGCACCTAGATTGTGGGAACCGGGACCTTGAAAATCTTTTTGCAGGGGGCAGCTGAGAGTGGCATTGTTACGTCATTGACAGCGCAACCTTGAGACTCGCCAGTTCTTTGTCACATGTTTCTGAGAAGGGCAGAGGTCGGACACCATTTTCGTCCCCCCAATTACTGGATGGGGTTCCCCTGAAGGGAGACCCAATGGGAGGGGGAGAACCTGACCATAAGGCCATGTGCCCTCCCCCCAAGGCTTTCAGGGCAAGTGCGAGGACCTACACCCTACTAAAGTGCCATGTGCTCTGCCTAAGTGCAAAAATAGAGAACAAAAAAAGTTAAGAGGTAAAGGATAGGTGCTTGGGTGCCAAAATGCAGTATAATGACTGGCCCCTGGCGGTTATAAAAATTCCTCCAGTCCCAGCCAAAAGGTCTAGCCCAGGAGGCAAGCATGAAAAAAGGGACTTGACCACTCTCTGCGAAAGCTGGAAATCACTGTAGTAGGTACCACTACTATAGTGATTGCCGCTGCCTCCAGGGTCTAATGCTGAGTGGCTGCCCTCTTGCTTTCTAAACACAGGTGACTGCTTTCCAGCCACGAGTGCCATGCAGAGAACAATTCTCTGATTGGACAAATGTGCACAGGTGGGACAGTGATGTCATATATTTTATAGAGAGATAGTATGGCAATTTTAATCTCAATGTGTATATTCATTTTAACATCAATTAGACTTTTATAAAAATTGGGCTTGAGTTATCTTTAGGGATCGTTCACACATAATGGAATCAGTTGTGTTTTCTGCACTGGATATGAGAGCACTGGACCACCAAGCCTTTTACTGCAGTGCACTGCAGAGGCACCACATAATCCCGCACTGCAGCGCAGCACACAGCTGTGCAGATACATGAAGAAAGTGTCACTTTTAACACTTCAAGAATAAAGTAAACAGTGCAATGTGCTGAAACACACATTGCACTGCACCCTGACAGTGGCTCACTGTAAATAAAAACTGACAGCTGCCTGCACGTTAAAAATGAGCATTTACCATGCAGGCAGTGTAAAGGAGCCCTTGAAAACAAAGCAGACTTGAAAACATTCTGTGTAGTTTTGAACGGACATTTGCCAAGGGCTACAAAAAAAAAAAAGCCTGGGTAAGTAAGGAGTTAATATTCCCAGCATTTATTACCGCCTGGCACTCACTAGCATGCTAAAAGCTCTTTTGTTGGAGCGAACTGAGCTCTTTGGTGACATGAATTTAAATTGTGTTTTCACAGAGTGCTCATTTTTCAAATATAACTTCAAAAGAACAAAAACAAAACATTGTGAGTATGTCATATTATATTTAAAAAATCTTGAACCTTTGAGAAAGCTGGTTTTGTAAATAAAAACTCTTAATTTTCAGGTTTATAAGGCTAAAATGAATGAATATTAAATTGTTTCAAACTTCAAACTAAAGTTGCCATGTAGTGCTTAATGACCTGAAATGTCTTACCCTTTCGTGTTTAATATGTGGGAGCAGCTCTAAGCAGCCAGAAAGTTAAAGGATGTTCTCGCTTAGTAAAGGAATTAGGAACCCCCTCCATCACTGGCTATTAGTGGGAGGGTCTGCCCCATAACCTCCACTGTTTATCCTATTCAGAGGTGCTCCCCTATCCAGAGTTTGTTGGCTTTTTACTCTTTGAGAATAACCTAACAAAAAAGTAAAATATGGGGGCTTGACTTGCCACATTTGTTTTTTATATATAAAATCTCTTTTAAAGAATACATTACTGTATACATGCAATACATTCAGACCCTCTATAACAAAGTCATTTGGTGGTGTGTCTTGCCACCTTTGGCTTCATTGACCTACTGATGTTGTACTGATGTCAGCAGGTTCAGTCTGGGCTTTGTACATCAGATTCATGCTGCTTAACGTGAATGTGTGTATTCTGTACTTTTACATATGTACCGAGGGTGGACTGATTACTGCCCTGTGCTGATGAGGTTCAAAGGCCAAAACAGTACTGTCCAAAGGTTGGTGCTCTGGTTCAGTAAAGGTTGTGTAATTGCTTTCAATATACCGTATTTTTCGCTCCATAAGACGCACTCCCCCCCCCCCCCCAAAAGAATGGGGGAAAATGTCTGTGGATTATATGGAGCGAATATGGAGCGGCCGGCCCAGAATTCCCGCCGCCGTGTTAGAATACTGGGCCAGCCACTCGGCTCTTCTGTGCTCCTCTGTCCTATCGGTTCCTCGATCCAGCGCTGTCCTCATCGTCTTCTCTCCCCCGGCGCTGGCATCTTTAGTGTGGGCACCCGGCTGTGTCAGCTTGCAGCCTCACAGCCGGGTGCCCACTGCGCATGCGCAAGAAGCTCTGCGCTTTGTGAATGGTCCGGCAGTCTTCTGGGACCTGTCATGTGTCGCAGAAGACAGGGAGGGAGGACAACTCCGCGGAAGTGGGAGCAGGTACCTGTCAAATTCAGGTACCCGCTCCTCCCCTCTGCTCCCCAAAGGTCCGCAGTCATCTCCTGTACTATGTCCTCAGTCTCTGGTCATCTCCTGTACTATGTCCGCAGTCTCTGGTCGTTTCCTGTACTGTGTCCGCAGTCTCTGGTCATCCCCTGTCCTATGTCTGCAGTCTCTGGTCATCTCCTATACTGTGTCCACAGTCTCTGGTCATCTCCTGTACTATGTCCTTAGTCTCTGGTCATCTCCTGTACTGTGTCCACAGTCTCTGGTCATCTCCTGTACTATGTCCGCAGTCTCTGGTCATCTCCTGCACTATGTCCTTAGTCTCAGGTCATCTCCTGTACTATGTCTGCAGTCTCTGGTTATCTCCTGTACTATGTCCTCAGTCTCTGGTCATCTCCTGTACTATGTCCGCAGTCTCTGGTCATTTCCTGTACTGTGTCCGCAGTCTCTGGTCATCCCCTGTCCTATGTCTGCAGTCTCTGGTCATCTCCTATACTGTGTCCGCAGTCTCTGGTCATCTCCTGTACTATGTCCTTAGTCTCTGGTCATCTCCTGTACTATGTCCGCAGTCTCTGGTTATCTCCTGCAGTATATCCGCAGTCTCTGGTCATCTCCTGCACTATGTCCTTAGTCTCAGGTCATCTCCTGCACTATGTCCTTAGTCTCAGGTCATCTCCTGCACTATGTACTTAGTCTCAGGTCATCTCCTGTACTATGTCCGCAGTCTCTGGTCATCTCCTGTACTATGTCCGCAGTCTCTGGTCTCCTGGTTATCTCCTGTATCTCCTGTATATGTCCTTAGTCTCAGGTCATCTCCTGTACTATGTCCGCAGGCTCTGGTCATCTCCTGTACTATGTCCGCAGTCTCTGGTTATCTCCTGTAGTATGTCCGCAGTCTCTGGCCATCTCCTGTACTATGTCCGCAGTCTCTGGCCATCTCCTGTACTATGTCCTTAGTGTCAGGTCATCTCCTGTACTATGTCCGCAGTCTCTGGTCATCTCCTGTAGTATGTCCGCAGTCTCTGGTTATCTCCTGTAGTATGTCCGCAGTCTCTGGTCATCTCCTGTACTATGTCCTTAGTCTCAGGTCATCTCCTGTACTATGTCCTTAGTCTCTGGTCATCTCCTGTACTATGTCCGCAGTCTCTGGCCATCTCCTGTACTGTGTCCGCAGTCTCTGGTCATCTCCTGTAGTATGTCCACAGTCTCTGGTCATTTCCTGTACTATGTCCGCAGTCTCTTATCATCTCCTGTACTATGTCTGTAGTCTTGGTTCAGAATACTTTTTTTCTTGTTTTCCTCCTCTAAAACCTAGGTGCGTCTTATGGAGCAAAAAATATGGTAGATAGTGAGTGAATCAGAACTAGCTGTGGACCATCTGGTTCAAGCATTAGATGTTTGTAGAATGCGTGTGTAGTGTTACTTCCAGCCGCAAGAATACTGTCCAGGTCTTCCCCATAAGCTTCGCCCCGCAGCCAGGTACATATGATTATTCAAAGGAACAACAAGCAGGGCGCCGGGTCAGCGTGGACAAAAACAGTAATGATCTGTGCATGGCCCGGGGAGAGACCCGCTGCGGTGGATAATTGGCGTCTCTGTGTGCCTTCCCGCTGGTGGTGTTGCTTGACAAAGGAGGTGGAGCTTCTGAAACATGTTGCAGCCTGCCCCTCTTTCCAATCACAGCACCTATCACTTCTCCCTCCCTCCGGTGGGAAGGCACACAGAGATGCAGATTATCCACTGCAGCGGGTCTCTCCCTGGGCCATGCACAGATCATTGAACCTGGTCTTCTGATGCCCCTCGCTCCGGTGTTCTTACCTGCCACACACGCCGAGGGAGTTTTAGATGTAAGTGGCACCCTGCTTGTTGTTCCTTTGCATACTTCTGTGGGATCCCCCCCATCCTTGGTGAGGAACTGCCGGTCTGCTCATGTGGTTCTCCAGTCTCCACGGTCCATTTCCCCTCTCATTCTGCACATCCATCGGATGGACCTACTGACCGCTGCATCCTGAACACACCGATTTCGCCTGGAATCCTGTCCCCCCATCCATTATTCCATGGACTGGTTTTTATTCCTTTTAATTTTTTTTCATTTTATATTCCACTTATTTTCCTATTTATTTTCCATCTTCTGTGTAAGCATTGAAGGGTTGCTCATAGTTTCTGATAATCATCCTTTATTCTAAGATATGATTATTCACGTTTCTTAAATGACCAATCTAGGGGTGTTGTTTTTGTTGTTTTTTTTATTTTTGGAGAACTTGGAAACGGTTGAGGGAATTAGGTGTGGTACTAAAAAAACAAGAACTATGTACAACTTGAGGATTTAGGCATTCTTCAAGTTAAGCTATAGCACAGTCAGTGTTTGCAACAAACAGTGGACTTCAGCTTTAACCATTTCAATACCGTGCAATTTTACACCTTCCTCCTGCCCAGGCCAGTTTTCAGGTTTCAGCGCTCTCACACTTTGAATGACAATTGCGCGGTCATACAACATTGTACCCAAACTAAAATTTTATCATTTTCTTCACACAACTAGAGCTTTCTTTGGTGGTATTTATTCACCACTGGGGTTTTTATTTTTTGCTAAATTAACAAAAAAAGACCAAAAATTTTGAAAAAAAAACCACGTTTTTCTTTGTTTCTGTTATAAAAGTTTACAAATAAGTAAGTAATTGTTCTTCATAAATTTAGGCCAAGATGTATTCTGCTACATTTCTTTGGTGAAAATAACCCAAATTAGGATGTATTATTTAGTTTGTAGGAAAGTTATAGAGTTCACAAACTATGGTATAGATCTGAATATTGATCAATCCTGAAGTACTGACAGACAATCTAATTTCTTGAGGTCCAAGAATGTCAGAATAGTACAGATATCCCCAAATGACCCCTTTTTGCAGAGTAGACAGTCCGACGTACTTCATAAGAGGCATGGCGAGTTTTTTGAAGTTGTATTTTTTTGTCATAATTTTTCGGAAAATTAAAAAATGTAAAAAATTATTTTCACTATTTTTTTTTTACATACTGTCACCAGTGCAGTACAGCGTCATCATATAACTGGCATAGCGGTGAACAGGGACACTGACTGGTGACAGTATGAAAAAAAAAAATATATATATATATATATTTTTTTTTAATTATTATTTTAAAATTTTTATTACTTTTTTTAAAAAAGTTTTTAAGATTTATTTTTCATATTTTACTATGACCAAAGTAGTACAATGTTACCATAGTAACATTGTACTACTTTGGGGAAGTGATCAGTATTTTTTTTTTTTTTTTTTATATATATATATATACACAATTTGCTTATAGCAAAGAATTACTTTGCTATAAGCAAGCATTTACCTGAATGACATTCATTCAGGTTTTTTTTTTTTTTTTTTGTTTAGCTGTGATTTGGCCACAGCTAATCACATGACATGTGCATGTGACCTGCTGTGACCATTCACAGCTAGGCACTAGTATACAATAGATGGCATGAATGAAGCCATCCATTGTATACAACTGTCATGTGACCTGCTGTGATTGGTCACAGCAGGTCACATGGTACCGGCAACGGGGGCCGGTACTCAGATCTGTCATTGGCCATGTCTGAGGTACACGGCCGGTGACAGATCGCGCTGCTGCGCGGCTCTGCAACCATGCGAACTGCGCATGTGCGGGAGGACGCCAAATGGCGTATACCCCGGAAATCTGCAGCATTTTTGCGGCCGCCAAACGGCTATAGGCCGGACGGCTAATGGTTAAGGCAGTAGTCAAAGTAATAGTAAGAAGATAGAACAGAGTCCCTTCAAGTAGGAGATTAAGCGGACAAAGTTCTTCAGGACACCAGCCAGTGTCCCCTTTAACCCACTTGCCCTCCAGAGGATTTGCCCCCCTTCATGACCAGGCCATTTTTTGTGTTACGGCGCTGTGTTACTTTAACGGACAATTGCACAGTCATGCAACACTGCACCCAAATTAAATTTATGTCCTTTTTTCCCACGATTTGAACTTTCTTTCGGTGGTATTTTATCGCCTGTGCATTTATAATTTTTTGTGCTATGAAAAAAAAGACCGACAATTTTGAGAAAGAAACAATATTTTTAACTTTTTGCTATGAAACATGTCCAGTAAAAAAAAAAATTAAAAATCTAATATCATCATAAATTTAAGTAAAATGTATTCTGCTACATGTCTTTGCTAAAAAAAACTCCAATATGTGTAGATTAATTGGTTTAAGTGAACGTTATAGCATTTACAAATGGCTGCATAGATACTGGAATTTAAAATTTTAATATTATTTTTACTAGTAATGGTGGCGATCAGCGACTTATTGCGGGACTGCAGCGGGCATTCTGACATTGGGGGGAACTGAGTTGGTGCCACTGACATCCCCAATGACACCAATACAAAGATCAGTGCCTAAAAAAAAGCACTGACACTGTACTAATGGCACTGGGCAGGGAGGGGTTAACAGAAGGGGCAATCAAAGGGTTAACTGTGTACTGTTTCACTGTAAGCTCTGTGTGTGCGCTTCACTGTAACCACTCTGCTTTGGATGGCTGTGCTGGGCACAGCCATCCAAAGCAGTGTGCACAAGCTGACAGGGAGGAGAACTGTATTGTTTACATACAGTTCTCCTCCCTGTCGGAGATGCTCAGCAATCACAGGGAGCCAGCGAGTAATCACCGGCCGGGGCCCGGTGATTGACAGCCGCAGCCACAAATGGTGGCACGGTAGGGCGCGTGTGCGCCTAGTGAACACCCCCAACCCGGGAATGCAAAACTACACACATATATATATATATATATATATATATATATATACACACACATGATTTTGTGCACCCGTGCCACCCTGTGGCAGTATATCTGCTATAGGGCAGTCAGGAAGCTGTTAACTAGACCCACAGCTGACTCCCTAGCACCAGAGGGGTTTTAACAGCTCAAAGTCTCTAAGATCCTTCAGAAGTGTCTGTACTCACAAGGCCCAAGGACAGCTGGTTGCCTTCTTCCGTGATACTAGACCAGATCTTCAGTAGATGGCCCTAATCATCTCAAAGCAGAACTGTCTCAGTATTCAGGCCCTTAGCTCTCCCACCTTAGGCCTACGACAGTAGATTTAGCAGCATTTCCTGGGAAGGCAGCATGCCCCCAAGACTGGACCAATTTTATAAAGGAAAAGACCCAGAGCTCATGGTGCTCACTTAATATATACAGTTACCCAGGATGCCATCAGAGCCTGCTTCTCTGGGATAGGCCAGGGCTCTATCAATAATTATGCTGCCATCTGCATAGCTCCACATCTATGATCCAGAAGCTTCTCAAGCTTTCTGGCATAAAGAGAGAACTATCAGGCTGGCATCGGCTGAACAAATTGAGCAGACCTAGCTAGCAGATCACAGAAGCACTGATTACAGTGTGACAACTAAATTTACCTATTGTGACAGAAAGCCAGGAAAAACTATTGGTTGTGTCCAGGATGGGAGATATATTTGTTCCAGATTCATGCTGTAGTGACTTTTCTTGGTTCACTAAGGGGTTCATGAGCTACACTGAAGCAGATTAAGTACTTTGCACTCTAAAAAACTCCCAGGCAGTTTAGGGAGGATAATAAATCAAAAACTCTATAACTCCCCAAAGAAAAGTAAAACTTTCACCCTTTGAAAGTGCAAATGTCATAAACCTTTTCAATAATCTTCGTTAACCACACATCCTATCCCACAATCTCAATACTAACACAATGTCCATAATAAAGTCCCAAATTCAAAATTGAAAATCCAAAATTATAGTCCCCACTCTCCAATCTTCCAACTGTGAAAATGTCCAATTCTTCACTTCAATCCAAAGTACCTCAAGAAAAATAAACTAAATATAGTGCATTATCTTTTACATAAAATATAAGTGATATCATGCAACCACACTAGTGATGTAAATATACTAATAAATGAGCATCACACACGTGAAGTGAAAGTCCACACACAACTTCACTAGTGGTCCTGTGAAACAACCACTACAATACGTGAAATGCCACAAATACACAATTAGTGATCAGTGAAAAATGTGCAAAATCTAATAAGTGCCACCACTCTGCGTTTAGGATAATATACAATTACCCTCTTTCAGCTTTCAAAGCGTTCTGAAATCCCCATATGCCAGATAGAATTGCCTTCAATGGGAGTATGCTTTCCTTTAATGGGAGTACACAATGGAATCCCCTCCTCATGTAGCAATGGGCATCGGGATCCCCGTTCCTCACAGGGCAGAGAGGAGCAGACTCAGTGGAATAATATATATAATACACAAATTTATTAGCTGCTTACA